GCTACTATGACTAAACATTTTGATCAAAGATTTTGTAGCAGAATCTTGATCAAAAGAGGGTAAATACAGAACAGAATTACAAATTCTCACAGACTCCAGACTTCCTGGAGCTATGAAGGTTGGATAAATCCCTGAAACTGTTGCCCTAGGGTGATCTTTAAATCTTAAAGCAATAATATCCCCTGAAGTTTTCTTAAAACAAAATGATAGTTTAGCTTAACTAGTAAAAAGGGTCTCTTTTAAGAATGACATATCTATATTAGGATCAAATGGACAACAGCAACTCAGACTGTTAGCCTGAGGGGGCAGTGGGCTCATGTGAATGGGGGAGGAAGATCTCAGAAAAGGAGGGTGAGAATGATAGGGCACAACGTAAAGGGTAGCATCATTGTCACTCAGTGGTGCGGGCAGAAATTGTTGAATTGGTGTATCTTCTGTTGGATTTTGCTATGCATGTTCTCAACAAAATCATAAATGGTACCTTTTTAAAGACCCCTATAGAGCACAGTTCTAATCTGACACATGTGGGTTGGGTTGCTGTGATTAAGAATTGACTTGATGGCAACCGAAGGTTTTCCTGAGTTGAGAATACAGTGTAATAGTAAGGTCAGAGTGGAGGAAGCAGCAGCTGGTCTTTGGACTAGAAGCAGGATGCTAGCTGGATGCTACCATTCCGTCCTGGTGGCTCACTCTGTGTCTGTCAAAGGTGGCTGACTGCATTTGCCTGATGGCCCTCGACAAGCCCCAGGCCGTGCCCGTGGACGTCCACATGTGGCAGATTGCCCAACGTGACTACAGCTGGCAACCCACCATGAGCCAAGCCAAGGGTCCGAGCCCCCTGGCCAACAAGGAACTGGGTGAGGAGAGAGTGCATGATGTTGGGGCTGGCAATGGGGTTGAAGTGGGACAAACTTCTCACCCACTTGGTCACCTCTCTCTAAATCCCAGATCCTCTGTACATGGGAAACAGGGAGAGAGGGGCCAGTTAATTTAGACTCCCCACTTCTGGTTTAGGAAACTTCTTCCGGAGTCTATGGGGACCTTATGCTGGCTGGGCCCAAGCGGTGAGTATGCCCAGATCTCCCCACCCTCCAGCCACTAATCCAGACCTCCTAGGAGCTCTCCAACAACCCCACCCTTACCCCCATGGACTCTTCCACCACCATCCCAAGTGGCCCTATAAAGGACACCCAGTCCCCCAGCCCTGACTGCAATGTACTTAAACCCATCTCCCAGTGGATTTGTGCTGCCCCAGCCTTACTGCCAGCGGACTCTTCTACCTCCTCACCTGCCACCAGCCCTCCACCTCATACACACTGCTTCCCCACACAGGTGCTGTTCTGTGCTGACCTGCACCAACCCCGCCACACTCAGGAGCCATCAGCAAAGCGCAGAAAGGGCTCCAAAGGGCCAGAAGGCTAGGTGGGGATGCTGGACAAAGGAATCCCCCCCTACTTTCCCCCTTCCCACCCAGGCATATGTGGGGAAGGGGGCTCCCTGCAGCTACCTCAGGCACCCCCAAATCAAGCAGTGAGTTTGTACAGCAGGCTTGGGTGGGGACTGGCGGGGGAGATAGAGCTACTTGTGATTTTATCCTCTTCCCTTTATTATAAGAAGGAACAATAAAATAGAAACATTTGTATGGAAAATGCAAGGAGGGAACAGGGAAGGAGGATGTGGGGCAGGGTAACCCCAAGTTCAAGGAGAGAAGGGAAACAAACCATCCCCCAAGCCCTCCCAGGCAGGGGATCCTGACCCTGGCTCCAGGGCCTAGAGCTGTGGGGGCAGTGTTGGGGACAATTCTGGACCCGGCTCCACACAGCAGTCTCGACAACAGCAGCCAGCTGCCGACCCTAGCCCAGGCAAAGAGGACAGACTTAGCTGTAAGGACAGACCTTCCACTCCAGCCTGAGTGTCTCTAGTGACCGCTGTGTTCTCACACAGAGCCCCAGGCCTCACCCCCAGTTGCCGGTGCCAGTAGCTCTCCATGGCTCGCCGTCTGTCCCTGGCCCTCCTGGCTGGTGCCTAACTGCAGCTTCCTCATGTGCCGCACCACGGCGGTGGCATTGAAGGCTTGCTGTGAGGAGAGAGGCACGAAGGGACTTTTGAGAGGGGTGGGTTCTGGGGCAGGGGATGGCAGTGGGATTCTTGCAGTGGTGGTTCTTTTCATGCAGGTGTTATTTATGGATTCCCTAAGACCCCACAAACCTCTACATAACTTTAAGTTATATTCAGTCATCTATTTACATACATATATAAAAATGTGCATACAAACAGAAGACAATGAATTCATATTTCTATATAATAGCAAACACATAGCATTATGTGCTAGGCACTGCTCTAAGCACTTTACACAGTAATTAATCTTTATAAAACTCTTTGTGGTAGGCACTATTAGTATCACCATTTTCAGAGAAGGACTGAGGCACAGAGGTTACATAACTTGTCCAGGAGTGGGTGGGTATGTGTGTATCTGTCTATTCAACAGACTCAATTAGATACCTCACCAAAACAACAACAACAAAACCCCACTGCCACTGAGTTGATTCTGATTCCTAGGGCCCTATACGGCTGGTAGGACTGCTCCTTAGGGTTTCAGCAGACAGCCTCATCTTTCTCCCATGGAGAGATTGGTAGATTTGAACCACAACTGTGCAGTTAGCAGCCCAGTGCTTAACCTATTGTGCCACCAGGGCTCCTAGACATCCTGCAAGCCCCTAAAACTTACCATGTTCAAAACTAAAAAACATTTCCCTAAGACTCATTCTGCCCTGGTTTTGGGGGGATGATTTTAGTTCCATCTCCATGACCATACCACTATCTTCCCTATCCCCATCCCAAAACTTAAACCAGTATCTCTTCTGCCCTCCCACATCCATTCCGTCATCACATCTTGTCAGATCTACCCACTAAAAGGCTCTTGATCAGCTCAACCTTGCTGTTCTCGATCGATCACCTCCGACCTGCATCTCAGCTGCTGCCTCAAATGGGACTCCCAAGCTCCACTCCATGCCACTCTGCATCCTGAGAGCCCTTTTCAGGGGCAAATGCCTGCTTTAAGTCCTAGGGCAGTGCTGCACTTTGGCATTTGAGGCTGTGAATGGCCAGCCTCCTGCCTGCCTCTCTAGGGTCAGCTCCTGCTCCTCATTCTGCTCAGCCACTCTGTTAGCACTTGCTCTTCCCCAGTGCCCCCACTCTTGCCCCAAGCCCTCTGCACACCTGTGCTCGCTGCCTCACATGTTATTCCGCTTTGCCTGGCTAATTCCTACTCAACTCTTGGGTCCGATCTTACATACTACCACCTGTGTGACTCTTGTGGGCCCCTGAGGCTTTATTAGATGCCTCTTTAAGAATTGTCACAGTTCTTCAGGATCTGAAGCCAGGGATCATCCAGAATGGAGCAGGGAGGTGTCAGTGTTCAGTGGATGTATGAATGAGGGCCTTCGGTAAGCATCACTAAACAGTTACTGTGCACCCAAACTGGTGCTTGATGCCATGTGACTTGAAGCCTGGATGGGCGGGAAGGACCAGGGGAGGCGGGAACCCAGGACTAGGTCACGGTCTCACCTTCCACTTGCTCTTTGCAAAGTTCTTCTTGATCTGCTCGCTCACCGACTGGTGGATGTTCTTATCTAGAGCTGTGTCCCCTGCAATCCTAGGATGGGGTGCGTGCAGGGGCCTGTGAGAGGCAAAGGCAGACCTGGGGCCCCATGCCCCACCCCTGTCCTTAGCTTGTGGACGCTTACCATGGGTGCTGCAAGGCCTGCTCACAGGTGAACCTCTTCTCTGGATCCTTCTCCATCAAGTGCCGGATGAAATCTTTGGCTGAACCCCCAAAATTAAGCAAGGATAAGGTAGAGTGTCATATGCACCCCCAAGACAGCCCATCCCCTCAGGTTTGGCCTGGCATCAGAGCAAGAAAAGAGGCCAGATCCATCCAAGCACTGCCCACCCACCCACCTCCCAACCTTTAAGCTCATTTCTCCTTTAAGAAAAAACTTGTTCTTAGGAAAGATGTAGAAATGATTGATAATAGCTTCCCAGTTTGTTTCCTAATAGGGACACAGAAGGAGGGATAAAAATGTCTGTGGTGGCGTTTCAGGCATTAGGAAGTCAGTATGGGAGGTCTTTTCAAAAATCCTGTTTAAAGGATAATTGAGTATGTGTCTGCAAGTGTCTCAGGCTGGGTCCAGGCAGAAGGAAGCGAGCTCCTGAGTTACGTGTCTGGGCCTGAAACCAGCTCTTAGACTGTGTCAGGGAATTAGACAGTATGGAGTCCCCAAAACTGATGAAGGCACCAGAGACAGGGCTCCGGGGAAGAAAAGCAAAGCCCCACATACCAGAGTCAGAGATGTCATCCCAGTAAGGAGAATCAAACTCATAGTCAGCCTTCAGAATCTGTTCAAAGAGCTTGGCATCATTCTCGTCATAGAACGGGGGGTAACCGCAGAGCCTGGGCAGAGAAACCCGTCCTCATTTCACAGTGTACCCCACTGGCTCCAGGATGGAGCTGTAGGGTCATCTGGGAGGCATGCAGGACCAACAGGAAGGAGCACCCCCTTTACAAAGAGGAAATGAGTCCTGTCTGTCCTCTCCTGTCCAACTTCTTTCTGTTCCTTGAACATGCCCACATCTTTCCCTTTGCAGGACCTTTCCCAAACCATTCTTTCCCCAGACCTTGAACAGCTGCCTCCCTCACTACTTCTAGGAGACCTTCCAACCTCCTCATCTAAAATGACAACTATCCCATTTCCTACCTGTGCTTGATTTTCTCCATAGCACTTTTACCACCTAACATGAATTTACTTGTCTGTGGCCCCTACTAGAGTATCTACTCCCTGAAGGCAGGTCCTTGTCTATTTTGTTTTCTGCTAAAATTCCTAGGACTTGAACAGTGTCTGAAACATTTAAAAACCTCAAACCAAACGAGTTGTAGGTGAATTGGTACTGATTCATGGTGTTGCCACGTGTGTCTGAATAAAACTGTTCTACAAGGTTTTCAGTGGCTCCTTTTTCTGATGTGGATCATTCTTCCTAGATGTCTCTGGGTGGACTTGCACCTCCTACCTGTAAGTTTGCCACCCAGGGCTTAACCACTTGGGCCACTCACAGATCCTACCTGGAACATTTTTGTGGTTGTTTGCTGTCAAGTCAGTTCCAACTCAGCGACCCTGTATAAGGGTTTCTGAGAGTGGTTGGTGGGTTTGAACTGCTGACCTTGCAGTCAGCCCAGTGCTTATCCTACAGTGCCATACTAGGGATGGGTGTTGAATCAATAGCTGAGTAAAGTAATTAAGTAATGGTAGATACATATATGAAGGGGGGAAGGAAGGGCAGAGAGGAAAGTAGGGGGAAGATCAATCTGGAGCCACACTTGCCAGTGGCTAAGCCCCTACTCACAGGATATAGGCAATAACCCCTATGGACCAACAATCCACAGCCTTGCTGTAGGGTTTCTGGGCTAGGACCTCAGGTGCTGTGGAAGGAAAGGAACATAGTGGTGACACATCTGTGACCTGCAAAACCTGGTACCTCCCCCACCCCAAGTCCCAGCCCAGGACCCTCCGCACCCACGTATCCCGGGGTTCCGCAGGCAGTGGAGAGCACGCTGCCTGGGTCCTCCATCTTGGAGAGGCCAAAGTCTGAGATCATGATCTTGGAGTCTTCATCCAGACTGTAGTACAGCAGATTCTCTGGCTTGGAGGGCAGGAAGGAGAAGGCGCAGTGAGAGGTGGCCAGAGGCTGGTGGAACCTTCTGCTTCCCCAAGCACACTTTGAGAAACAATGCCTCCCACAAAGTCACATGGCTTCACTGCAGCCATCTTGGCTAGAGACATGAGAATCTCAAAGAAGAGCTCAAGAAGGTATAAAAGCACAAAGATCTGAGGAGGTGGGAGAGGGGGTTTTCTGTATGCCTCATGTGTGTATTGTGCAGCCCCAAAGAAATAATCCTTTACTATCTTAGTGCATACCATACCCTGTCTTAGTACTTGACTTCACTTTGTACTTACCATACCCCTCCCAGGTCAGTCTGACCAATCCCATTTTACAGATGAGGAAACAGGCTTGAGAGCAAAGTGACTTGCCCAAGCATTCACAGTTACAAAGTTGCTGCTAAGTGTCATTGAGTCAATTCTGACTCATGGCAACCCTGTATATGGTTTCCAAGGAGCAGCTGGTGAATTTGAACCACCAACCTTGCAGTTCAAACGGACCTTGTAGTCTAGTGCACACATAAGGACTGTTGTTGTTAGGTGCCATCGAGTCGGTACCGACTCATAGCTACCCTATGTACAACAGAACAAAACACTGCCCAGTCCTGGGCCAACCTCACAATTGTTACCACGCTTGAACCCATTGATGCTGCCACTTTGCCAATCCATCTCGCTGGGGGTTTTCCTCTTTTTCTCTGATCCTACCAAACATGATATCCTTCTCCAGCAACTGGTCCCTCCTGACAATATGTCCGAAGTAGGAGAGATTAAGTTTGACCATCCTGGCCTCCAAGGAGCACCCTGGCTGCACTTCTTCCAACATAGATCTGTTTGTCCTTTTGGCAGCCCATGGCATCAATTCTTCTACGGTTTTCCTTATTCACTGTCCAGCTTACGCATACATATGAGGTTACTGAAAATATCATGGCACACCTTAGTTCTCAAGCTGACATCTTTGCTCTTCAACACTTTAAAACGGTTTTATGCAGCAGATTTGCCTAATGCAGTACGTCGTTTGATTTCTTGACTGCTGCTTCCATGAGTGTTGATAGTTGATCCAAGAAGAATGAAGTTCTTGACAACTTCGATCTTTTCTCCATTGATAAGAATGTTTATTGGTCCAGTGGTGAGGATTTTTGTTTTCTTTACATTGAGATACAATCCATACGGAAGGCTGTGCTCTTTGATCTTCATCAGTATTTTAAGTCTCCTTCGCTTTCAGCAAGCAAGGTTGTATCATCTGCATATTGCAGGTTGTTAATGAGTCTTCCTTCAATCCTGATGCCACATTTGTCTTAATATAGCCCAGCTTCTTAGATTATTTGCTCAGCATACATGCTGAATAAGTATGGTGAAATAATACAACCCTGTCACACACCTTTCTTAATTTTAAATCATTCAGTGTTCCCATGTTCTGTTCAAACATCTGCCTCTTGGTCCATATACAGATTCCTCATGAGGACTAGCAGGGTCTCCTCCTAGACTAGAATGAGATGTGTTAAAAAAGGGAATACCATCACTAGCTCTGAGTAATAGGAATTGAGGGACTTCTAGCTTTCTTCATTCTTTTCTTCTATTCTTTTCTGTCCTACCAAGTTTTCTACAAAGAGCAAGTGGGATTTTTATTACCAGTAAAAGACATAAAATATTATGTGGATGAAACAGCAGCACAATTCACCTTTGTGTTCATTTGAGTGCCTTAATTGTTTTTGGAAACCCTATAACGACAGTGAGGTTGGTCCAGGATCAGGCAGTGTTTCATTCTGCTGTGCATAAGGTCGCTATGAGTCGGTACCGACTCCATGGCACCTAACAACAATGACGACGACATGCAGGGTCAATATAAGTCGGAACCGACTCGATAGCACCTAACAACACTACCAATTGGAAGAAGGGGAGAAGGCAATTTAGGGGTTACAAGCTGCACATTGCAGGTGGAAGCTGAGACTCAGTGAGGGGTTAGAGTTAACCCAAGGTCAAACAAGATCCCAGGGGTGATCTGCCTACCACACACACCTTGAGATCCCGGTGTACGATGCCCAAGTCGTGCAGGTACTTGACAGCATCCAGCACCTGGAAGATGAGACGACTGGCATCCCGCTCTGTATAGAAGCCTTTCTCCACGATGCGGTCAAATAGCTCCCCACCTGACACCCTGTAGCCAGGTAGAAGGCAGCCTGGTCAAGAATGGGGCTGCAGAGACTGGGTCCCCCAGGCTAGGGGAGGCAGGCAGTAGGGGGAGGTCTGAGGCAGAGGCAGGGCCACTCACAGCTGCATGATGAGGTAGAGGTGACCCCCACTCTCATAGATGTCATCCAGGGCTACAATGTTGGGATGCTTGATCCTGGAAGCAGAAAGGAGGTGGTTCAGAATGGGACAGCTCTGCTACTTCCCTCCCCTTTCTTCCCACTGCCTGCAAACCTGGACAGGACAAACCATGAGTATGGACCCCAAAGTGGGTTTGGCATGATCGATTATAATTTCTCAGAAGGCTGGAAAGCATTAGACGGAACAGGGTTCAAATCCTGCCTCTGCCATATGCCATTGGGGACAAGTCTTTCCTCTTCATCACACTGATCAATATGTGAGTTAAAAATGCTTTATCAGCAAGTCTGTCAGCCTCTCCCACCAGGTCAACTCCACGAGATCAAGAACTCTGACTCACTGTTGGTCCCTCAACACCTGGTGCCAAGTAGGTGCCCAATAATGTCTATTGAATTGAATGTAATCTCTCCTAACCTCAGTTTCTTTGTCTATAAAACAAAGCCAATGGTAATACTTCTTTCAAAGAGTTGGGGTGAGGATGATAGGAGTCAATGCCGGTCACACGCTTGGTACAGGACCTGGCACACAGCAAATGCTCAATAAATGAACCAATCCTGGGGACCAGTTTTGATGAAGAGGAAGGCTCAGCTTTGCCATAAACTTGCAGGGTGACCTTGGGCAAGTCCTTTGCCCTCTCTGGGCCTTAATTTCCTCCCTTGGAAACAGGGTAGGAAGGTTTCAGGGAGAAGCTGGAAGCGAACATTTTCGGTATGCTTCCCAGTAAAGGCCAGGAAGTTTATATCAGCATAAGCATTTCAAAATATACCACTTGGTTGTTGATTTGTTCACAAGGTCAACAGACCTTTTTTTTTTTTAACTTCCTGAGTGGCTTCAGCATGTAAAGGGAAGTTGAGGTGGGTCTAGAGATAACACTAGCTAAGGTAGTGGCTTCAGTATTGTTTAAGGATTGACCTTTAGACCCTGTAGAGCAGATTAAACCACTGTAAATAAGTCCTTCCCTCTCAGTCATATCTGTCCCATATGGTAGTTCTTGTGCTGGGCACCTGAATAAAGGAGCTCAGCTGCTGCCAACAACCCTGTCAAGCGGTTATTAATACTCCTATTTTATAACTAAGCAATTTGAGGCTCAAAGAAGTTAAATGATTCTCCCAAAGCAGGGGTGAGGAAAGGGCTGAGAGGTCAGCACAGGGTCAGCCCACACACTTGTGCAGGACAGCGATCTCATTCTCCATGCTGCCCTCCTTGCCCTCCAGGGCCTTCTTGGCAATGCATTTGATGGCCACCAGCTTCTGAGTCCTCTTATCTTCTGCCAGGATTACCTCGGAGAAGGCCCCCCTGCAGGGAGAGGAAATTCCTGAGACAGGAAACTGGAACCCCAGCTTCCCTCCAACCTCTCCTCCATCCCCTGTTGATCCTGTGAGCACCTCTGGACCAAATGCATAAGATGAGCCTCTCCCAATCACTCATTTACCCCTGGCCCTAGAAATGGTCACATGACTATAGTCTGGCCAATTAGAGTAGCCTAACCCCTGGCCACAATAACTGGCACTTTGAGAATGAGGTGTTTTTTCTTGCTTTGTTGTTGTTGTTAAGTGCCATTAAGTCAGTTCTGACTCATAATAACCCAACATAGGGTTTCCAAAATGCAACTAGTGGATTCAAACTGCCAACCTTGTGTTTCACAGTCCAATGTTATACCCTATACCCACTCTTCTTTTGCTTGCTAGGTTAGTAGAATATAAGCCTGGAACTGATTTGCCACCAGTTGAGAAGACCCTGCTTGATTATAAAGCCAAAACAAAGGAAATCAGAGCTAAGAAACAAAGACAATATCCTGATAATATCATGTAAACTCCTGGATCCAGCCATGCCTGAAGCTTACCCCTGACCTTTTGACTGTACGCAATTGATTCCTTCCTTCTTCTGCTAGAGTCAATTTGAGCTGAACTAATTTTAACACCCTTTGAAGAATCCTTGAAGAACCATCAGAGTCATCTTGGAGCTTTTAAAAAGGTAGAATCGCAGGTCTCGAACCAACTAAATCAGAATCTGCATTTTAACAACATCCTCCTGATGTGTATACACATTTAAATGTGAAAAGCAGTGTTTTAGAAAAAACAAATTTAGAAAGGAGCAAATAAACTCTTTTATACTAAAGAGTAAAGAGGGTTTTCTATGGTATTCTTTCTTTGGCTGTTTGTGTTTTTTAGGAGAATAAGACATCATAAGCCAAAGAAAAGCAATTCTCATGGTAAAATTTCAATCATCAGTAATAATTAGTGATTGCAGCAGCGTTATCTCTAGTTCCTAGTCTTTTTCCTCTGTAGTTTACCTTTTATCTGTGGCCAAAGTGTCTGACCATCCTAAATAGTAAACCTGCTGAAAATGACTTCCAATGGCCCAAAGTCTCAGTGGTCTGGTTTTCAAGGCCCCTACACGACCAGTTCTCTTCTCCATCCTCTTCTTTCACTCTTCTTCAAGCCTCTTATTTTAAGTCCCACCAGGCTCCTTACTTCTTTCTACATATGCCATGCCTCTGAGCCTTTGCTGATGCTATTCCTTCTGAAAAATGCACTCCTTCCTATCCTTCAGTCCCCAGCAACAATGTTTCCTCCCCCAGGCAGAAGCTCCAATCCTGCCTGGGCTATACAAAGCCCTCAATCCCAACCTTAACTGGGGCACAGGACACACACCACTGTCATTCTCCCCCACATGTCTGGGCTCCATTTGAGGGGCACAGATCAGGTTTGAGTTATTTCTGGATTTAGCACTGAGAACACAGCCATGCTCAAGCTTCAGTTCTCAAGCCCAACCTGAGCCCCCTGCCCCCCTTGTTCTCCACCACTCTCTTCAGTGGGAACCAAGAGGTGATGTAAGAACAGCCCCTGTCCCACCTACTGACAAGAAATGAGAAGCTGAGGCCAGCCTGAGCTCCTAAGAGTCTGGATTGTAGGAAACAGGAAGCAGTGATCAACTGACCAGAACCAAAGGAAGTACCTTAGACCCAGTGGATCCAGCCATCTAGACCCAGGAGTGAGGACCTCCCAAGATCCCTCCCACCAGGCCACATCACAGACAGCCCCCCTTTCCTCTTCTCCTGAGATTTGAGGGGTCACTCACGTGCCCAGAACATCACGGAAGTCATAAATGTCCCTAATGTCCTCCGCCTGCTTCCAGCTAGGGGCTTCCACTGCCCCCGGCATGGCCCACTGTCCACTGGCCACAGCCAGGGCTCCTGGAAAAGAAAATGGAAGGAGGGGGCTCAGTGGGCCTAGCCTTCTCTCAGAGGATTTACTGGGGGTGCCAGTCAGTCATTCAATGTGCTAGTCACTCCTAGATTCAGTCATTCCACAAATGAGGTCCACACATTCATTTGTTCACTAGTCATTTGTTCATTCAACACCCTTTATGGCCAAAGCAAAATTCTTCATTCAACAAAGGCATTCATTCATTCATGTATTTAGTTCACTTTCTGATTTCTTTCTTTCCAAAACCAAACACCCAGGGGGGTCCCTGACCTCAGGAAGGACAACAGAGAAGGCTCCAGAGGTCTTGTATTAGTGGATGGTCCAGGAGGATGTCCCTTTCCCCAGAACCAGTAATGTCCCAGACCCACCCTGGGAATTGCTGGGGTGTCTCCTCTCCCTCCTCCTCCTACTGCCCCGGCCTCTCTCTCGGAAATCAGGTTTCCGGCAGCCTAGGCTTCCAGCAATATCTCAGCCACGTTTTTAAATAGCTCCTTCTGCACTGTTACCATGGCAACAACAGCCACAGCTGGAGCTCCCCCAGGCCACCTCCCACCCCTTCTTCCTCCTGACTCCCCATCTGGGTCCAAGCAGCCTGAGAAATGGTCCCACCCAATCTATCCCTTCCTGGCCCTGTCTCACCCAGATCCAGCCTGGACCTCCCCAGACTGAGGCCTCTGTCTCATCCAGCAGGAGAAGGTGGGCATTTTCTCCCCCATTCATCACAAGAATGAGAGACTGAGGTGGGAGATGGGTAGGAGCTGGGCCTAGAGATTCCCAAATGATGTCCAGCTGGGGCCCCAACTAAATTTGCTAAGGGCAAAAACCATAAAGGGGGTTTTCTCAGCTTGTCCTTCCAATTTGCAGCCAGGCTGGGGCCCATTAAGAACATAGCTTCCCAACCCCACCCCATGCCCAAATAAAGATGAGGCCAAAAGAAAATCTACTGTGCTGTGTAATTTCAGGGAGGAAGCTTTCCCTCTCTGTCTCCTGAGGGAGAATGAGGGGAAGGTGCCCTAACTAGAGCAACTGGTGTGAAATCCTACTGTTTGGGTGGCACCCTGTCCCATGGGGCCTGGCTATCTATCCCAGGAGTAGAAAATCCAGGAAAAGAGACTTGCTAGTGAGCTCCGCGGGAGAAAGATGAGGCTTTCTACTCCCGTAAAGATTTACACCCTCGGAAACCCTGTACAGGGTCGCTATGGGTCGGAACCGACTCGACGGCACTTAACAACAACAACAGTGAGCTTCGGAGGTATCATCTTAAACTTGTCTGAAGGCCTGGCAAATAAGCCTCTCATGGCCCTACACAATGCCACACCAAGCCCATCCACAACCCTGAACCCAGTCACCTGTCCCCAGAGCCAGGTTTCAGCCCTATCTATCCTACACCCAAACCTGACACCTCATCATATGAATCTACCCACCCAGACATCAGCATGTTTCTTCTTCACACACATTGCCCCAGACATCCTCACAGCCTGTTTGCTCCAACACCCCTCACCCAGACCCTTTTACACCTCCAAACACACATCCACACACCTGGATAAGATGACGTCGGGGCACACCAGCCATACCAGATTCACCCACACCCTACACTCTCCAGTTCTTAGAGGCCAAAGCAACTCCAAAGATCCTAGTTACTACCCTTACAGCCAGATAGCTTTACTTAGCACTCACACCTGGACATATATCTACACCAAAAAACACAGCTGCCTCCAGGCATTCCCACCTATAAGAATACCCTTACACACCTCATATGTGACCCACACCACTGTGTTAAAACAATAGTATGCCCCAACACAGTTCCCCAAGCGCTCATGCTCTTCCACATTCAGGCGCAGTTGAACACACAAATACACACACATCCCTCCCACCGTCCTCTGTTACCCACCCAGTTTCCCAGTTTCCTACGGCCTGCCCGACACCTGCTGGGCCTGGGGCAGAGGTGAAGGAGAAAGGCCCCGCAGTGCCCATCCAAGGTCCAGCCCGCCTGGGCACCCCTCCCATCCTAGGGGTAGGGCTTTCAGCGGCGAGGGGTCCCACCGTCCCCCTCAGAGCTCAGGGACTCTGGCGGGGCTGTCCCAGCCCCGGGCTGTACCTGCGGCTGCCCCGCCGCGGGGCTGACTGGGAGGCCGAGGTGGCTGGCGCCGAGCTCCGGCCGCGGTCCGCCGCCGCTGCGCGCCTGGCCCGCCCTCCCGCTCTCTCTCTGGGGCTCGGCTCCGGCTCCGTGGCCCCCACCCCCCACCCCGCCCGCGGCTCTGATGTCAATGGGGGAGGAGCCTGCGGCGGAGAGACCCGGGCTTGGAGGCTAGGCACCGCTCCCCGCTAGGGAAGGGGTGCACTAGGGACCCGGTGTTCCTGGCCGGACCTTTGCGGGACGGTTCTCGCCCTTCGTTCTCAGACAGGGCTCCCATTTCACAGAGGGGACAACAGAGGCCCAGACAGATGAAGAGTTAGAAATCAGCAGTTTATCAGTGTCGGGGAGTACGATTCTAGCCCAGGTCTGTCTGATGCCAGAGGCTGACCAATTTCATTTTGTTGCCTCGTGGATTTTCTTCTAGGCCACTTCCAGGAGCTCCCGTAAGGCTTCCTAGGGTCCCTCCAATGTCCAGAAAAGAGCTGTTACTATTGTTGTTAAGTGCCATCGAGTTGGATCCGGCTCATTGCAACCCTGTATAGGGTTTCTGAGAGTGACTGGTGGGTTTGAACTGCTGACCTTTTAATTACCGTCCAGCGCTTATTCTACAGCGCCATACTCAGAATTAGATCCGCAGAAAGGCTGTGGGAGACTGGGGGTGAGGTGGGGATGGGATTAGGGGAAGGTAGTAGGGAAATGGAAGGGCAAGTGTAGGCAATGGGTCAAGACAGTCGCAGGGTGGGAGCTCCATCCTAGCCCCATTTGACACATGGGAAAACTGAGAGCGGAGGTCCCTCGGTGAGGCAGAGCCGAGGCTCCAATCCCTGCCACCTGCCATTCTGAGTAGTGTGGTGTACAGGGCTTCAGGGGTAGGGAAAGATGAGCGGGGTGGCATGGGTGGTGGTAAAGCAGGAGAAAGCAAGCCAAAATTAACTGAAGTGTCACGTGAATGAGCAGGAGCCAGGGGCTGATGGCTGGGGGCCAGGTTGGGAAAGGAGGGGGGCGCCATGCTGGCTCCTGGGGCGGCGGGCAGGGGGCCAAGGGACCTGACCCAGGTTGGCTTGCGCAAGACCTTCCCTGGGAAGAAATTCAGCATGGAGTGGGAAGCGGGGAGCAGCTCACAGAGTCTGGATATGGGCTTGATCTGCCAGCTGGAGGCGCTGCTGCGGACCCCACCCCACCTCCTTGGATCTCCTAGTACCACACCCCATTCCAGAATTACGGCATTTTCCAATTGGAGATGGCAAGCGGACAGTGCTTATTCTATCTAACTCGCTTTCCTTCTCTTATTATCCGCACTATATGAGAGGCTGGTCATGTATCTAGAGAGGAAGACTCTGGTGGAGACTGGTAGAGGGCTTTTGAGTTCAATGGGCCTATACAGGGTGGCTATGGGTCGGAACGGAATCGAAGGCACTTAACAACAACAACCAATTACTTCACCTGGAATAAAGGAATATTGATGCTGCCTCATAGAATTCTCCTGAGGATTATATAAAATAAGGGATATGAAGTGCCTGAAACACACATTAGGAGCACAAAGTATGAGCGTTAGACTTAGTGTAAACTGAGGCTCAGAGAGGGGACAGACTTGACTTGGCAGGGACAGAGGACTCAGAGATAATTTCCCACCCTCACATCTCAATTCCTGCAAGGAACTAGGCCTAAGGGTCAGTTAACCTTTTCCAAGTCTCAATAACTCAACTTCCCAGCCACAGAAAAACACTTCTTCAGGCCCAAGGCTGAGCCAATACTGTCCCCTCCACCTACTCAGCAGACCCACTGAGCTCCTGGGTCTGTCAATTAGATAAACAATTAGAGCTCCTGGGTCTGTCAATTAGATAAACAAATTCCTGTTTATCTAAGTGACAAAATTCCCTAGATTAAAGTGATCTCAGCCCTTCTGAGGATTTGTACAACTTTCATGCTTTTTTTTTTTCTTTTAAATATTTTATTTTTGTTGTTGTTGTTGAAAAATTACACCAATTCAACGATTGCTACATATATAATCCAGTGACATTGTTTACATTCTTCACATTGTACAACCATTTTCATCTTCCTTTTTCAGATTGTTCCTTCCCCATTAACATAAACTCACTGCCTCTAAATTTCCTATCTAATCTTTCAAGTTGCTGATGTCAACTTGAGCCCATGTAGATAGTTCTTTTAAAGAGCACAGTGCTCAAGGCAAACATTCCTTTCTAATTAAGCTAAATTACTGTTGGGTTTAAAGAAGTCTTCCTTGAGGATATAAAGATTTAAAGATTATTTTAGGACATCAGTTTCAGATGTTCTTCCAACCCCAACTGCTCCAGAAATTCTGGATTCCTTTCTCATTTCTTTCTCTTCCTCATTTCCTCCCTTGTGATCAGAATTTGTCTATAGAATCTTTATTCAAAATGTTCAGTAATGGGAGTTGGGCACCATCCAGGTCTTGTCTGTGGCAAAGGAGGCAGCTGTTCTTCAGGGCTACTAGTCAGGCTACACTCTGTTTTGCTTTCTTTCTGCTCTTGAGCATGTCTAAGGGTACTTGAAGAGCCCTAGTGGCACAGTGGGTAAAATGCTCGGCTGCTAACCATAAGGTTGGTGGTTTGCGCCCACCAGCCTCTCCACTGGAGCAAGATGTAGCAGTCTGCTTCCTTAAAGATTGGTTGTTGTTGTTAGGTGCCATTGAGTCAGTACTGACTCATAGAGACCCTATACACAACAGAATGAAACACTGGCCGATTCTGGGCCAACCTCACAAGCATTGCTACATTTGAGCCCAAAAACAAATCTGTAACGGATTGAGGATTGAGTTGTTTCCCCCAAATAAGTGTTGCATATCCTAATTCCTATACTTGTGGATGTAATCCCGTTTGGGTGTAGGGGATTCTTGGTCATGTTAATGAGGTCATATCTCTATTTGTTGTTGTTGTTAAGTGCCATCCAGTTGGCTCAACTCATAGTGACCCTATATAGGGTTGCTAAGGAGCAGCTGGTAAGTCTGAACCACTGATCTAGCAGTTCAAACCAACCTTGCAGTCTAGTGCTTTATCCCACAGCACCACACCATGACTCCTGTATTTGTTAAGTGCCAATGAGTTGCTTCTGACCCACAGCAACCCTGTATAGGGTCTGAGAGGCGACTTGTGGGTTTGAACTACCAACCTTGCGATTCAAATTAACTTTGTGATCTGGTGCATTATCCTGCAGTACCACACGAGGGCTCTGTATTTGCTGTTGTTAAGTGCCATCAACTCATAGTCACTATGAGATTCCAACTCATAGTGACCCTGTATAGGGTTTCCAAGGAGCAGCTGGTGGGCTTGAACTGCCGACCTTGAGCTGCCGACCAGTGCTGATCCTACAGCACCATATGAGAAGTCCTTCAAATAGGTTCTGACTCATAGCGACCCTATGCGCAACTGAACGAAACACTGCTTGGTCCTGAGCCATCCCTACAATTCTTACGTTTGAGCTCATTGCTGCTGCTCCTTTGTCAGTTCATCTCCTTCGGGGTCTTTCTCTTTTTTGTTGACTCTCCACTTTACCAAGTATGATGTCCTTCTCCAGGGACTGGTACCCCCTGGTAACATGTCCAAAGTATGAGAGATGAAGTCTTTCCATCCTGGCTTCTAAGGAGCATTCTGGCTGTACTTCAAATAGATTTGTTTGTTCTTTTGGCAGTCCATGGTATTTTTAATATCCTTCTCCAGCACCATAATTAAAATGCATTGATTCTTCTATGGTCTTCCTTATTCACTGTCCAACTTTCACATGCATATATTGTTGTTGTTAGGTGCCATCGAGTCGGTGCTGACTCATAGCGACCATATGCACAGCAGAAAGAAACACTGCCTGATTCTGAGCCAACCTCACAATTGTTGCCACACTTGAGCCCACTGATGCTGCCACTTGGCCAATCCATCTTGCTGGGGGTCTTCCTCTTTTTCTACGATGCTTCACTTTACCAAACATGATAACTTTCTCCAGTGACTGGTCCCTCCTGAAAATATGTCCGAAATATGACAGATGAAGTTTGTCCATTCTGGCTTCCAAGGAGCACTCTGTCTGTATTTCTTCCAACGCAAATCTATGTGTTCTTTTGGCAGTCTTGGAAATCCTATGGGGCAGTTCTACTCTGTCCTATAGGGGGTCCGTGAGTTGGAATCCACTTGATGGCAGTGGCTTTGGTTTTAGTAAGAGCACTTATGTTTTCTTTTTAAACAAATGAACACATTCCATCTTTATCTTGCTTTTTCTATTAAACATATAATAAATACATGGTCATTGCTGGAAAATCACATAAAGTATTCAAAACACACATAGCCCATTCTTGCCATTGTCAAATTCTTTTCATTTACTAAGTGACAGAAGCAGCCAGCTTTGCATAAAGATATCACTGTGGGTCACACAGCTAGCACAAGATTGAAGAAAACACTCAGAGCCAAGGTCGTAGCTACTGGAACTAGGGACAGTCCTCATGGGGTTTGCTTTCCCCCTCTTCTTTCGTCTCTCTTTGTCTCTCTTTCTCTTGGCACATTGGCCTCATTTCCTCTGCAGAATGATCTTCTCTAATGGGTAGGAAACATGGCCCCAGCTTCCAACTAAACCCAACAGAAGGGAAGCAACCTCCAGTTGTCATGTGTCTCTCAGGGAAGGACTCTGATTGGCTCTGCTTAAGTGGCATGCACACGCCTTAGCCCCCATAACTGTTGCCAAGGGGATGAGATATTAGGATGGACAGGTTATTGTAACAGACCGTCACACCAGAGTCACAAGGAATAAAGGAGGGGACGCTCACCCAAAGGAAATAGGCGTAGTACCCAGTGGGCAGACAAGAAGAACAATCAGAAATAGCCAAAGTTAACATTTTTGCTACAGATTCTTCCAGACTTTTTTGGATGTATGTATATACACACACTCCCCCCATTGGCTCATTTACACCAGTGAGCACAGTTCAAGGTACAGGTCAAAAGTGACTCAGAGAAAGCTATATGTAGAAGAAAAAGGGATCACTCTCTCAACCTCATTATTAAAAAACACAAAACAGCTCAGTCCTATCCATCTATTATTACACGTGACAGAAGTGAATGACTTTACAAATTTAGAGAAATTGGA